ATGTCAAGACGCACAAAAAAGCCTCAAGAACCCATAGCCTAAAGTCAACAGGAAGTCGGCCATTTTGAATTTTACGGCCATTTTTGGATGATTTACACACTTCGTACTTTAACGAACTCCTCCTAGGGATTTAGTCGGATCGACGTCAAATTTCTGCTGTGCCTTCTAAAGGCATTGACGATGAAAAGTTGTGCTATTTGCGAGTTTTCGTCAATGGGCGTGTCCATGGCGTCGATGATTCGCTATGAAACAGGAAGTTGTTGTAACTTCAGTGTACATGCTCACATCTGGACCAAACTGTACATGTAGGATGAGAGTCCCGCCCTGAACACATGTACATGCCGACATTCACCCACAGTCATAGCGCCACCTGCTGGCAACAGAAAGTGACCTTTAGCGAAGCAGCCCCCGCCGCACGTTTCACCTACGTGCACGAATTTGCTGTGGTACGTGTATCTTGTCCAGACGCACAAAAAAGCCTCTTGGAGCGATGCCCTAAAACCAACAGGAAGTCAGCCATTTTGAATTTTACGTCAAATTTTGGATGATTTACACACTTCGTACTTTAACGAACTCCTCCTAGGGATTTAGTCCGACCGACCTCAAATTTCTGCTGTGCATTCTAAAGGCATTGAAGATGAAAAGTTGAGCTATTTGCGAGTTTTCGTCAATGGGCGTGTCCGTGGCGTGGCGTCAAAGATCAACTCTTCGCCATGACACAGGAAGTTGTTGTAACTTCAGTGTATATGTACAAAAATTTCAAACATGTCAAGGAGACATAAATGTATATATTTTAATTAGTGCCTTTACTTATTCACCTTTGTTATAATTACCTTATTTATTTATTCTCCGTTATAATCTTCAACTTTATTTATTACTATTTTTTAAAATGTATCTATTTATGTGTGTGTTTTAATATTTTTGTCTGTTTTATTCTTCCTTTGTATTTATTTACCTTATTTAGTTTCTTTCTCTTTTATTTCTTCCTGTCCTTTTTAAATTTCTGTATGCATTTCTGCCTCATTATGCAAATGAGGAGGTGCTGTGTCTCAAGGGGTCATCTTCTCTGCTATTGGTGGACCAGTCAGACAGGAGAGCTCCTACTCTGCCTGCAGACATCAACGATCTTGCCCCTCACACAGTCAGATGGCTTCCTTCAGTGCGCTGAGGTGTTTAACAACTCTGAAGACACTACCAGCCATGTCTTCCTTCTCTTTTCACGTAGACGCTCCGACAGACAGTGCTTTCAGTTTGCTGCATGCATGGACACAGAACTGCGGTATAGGGAGAAGCACACGGTCAGCTGGCTGCAGCTAAATCTGGAGTGCACTCATATTCAATTCTGTATGGTAAATTCAGTTTTAATGGAGCAGAGCGAGCTGACAGGCAGAGTTAGAGACTTTTTCTGTCCGTTTCTCTCTTTACAAAGATGCATGTTGCAGTCAGAGTCTTCTCTGAAGAGGGCAATGAAGTCTCAGTAGTACCCGATGCGAGACACAATTTATCAAATTACACAACGGATATACAGTATGAAAATAAGATTGATTGGATTATACTCACAGGAAGTATAAAACCTGTTACATGCGTCTATTAAAAGTAAAGTAACACAAAAATGTCAGGGAAATTACTTTACTTAGATTTAAGTACTGCAGTTGTACATTTGAAATACCTTCCTACCTTTCTGATAGGAAGCCTTCTTGAGGTGGTATAAAACATTTCTTCTTATATTCTGATTTGAGTTGTGGACAACTATGACCACATGAATTAAAAAAATTTAACATTTCACTGCCCAAGTCAGCTATAACACAAGTCTTGTTCATCAGACTACATGCTGTACAGTATTTGTCTACAGATTTTGTCCCAGGATTTATTATGCATTTCTTCTTCTTCGTTGCATGATTTAGAATAATAAGGTGAGAAATGGGTCTGTTCTGAGTTCATCCTGCACTGCAGCAGCTAATAAAGTCCATTTAATCCCAAAAACGCTTTTCTTTTAGGCAGGCTGGAGCAGAAAACAACTCACCTTTCTCAAGTTGTACAGTAATGTCACATGTGTATGAAGGTGGATCAAACAAGCTAATCTTAAATGTCAAAGTAGAGAGGAGCCTAGTAGGCCTATTTATTTTCATTCATTACACAATATGAATAAGCTATGCAGACAGTTGTAAAGAAAGAACATCTTTTTCTTCTGTTCTCTACTTGTTATAGTTACACAGTATTAGGGGTGTGGGCTGCATTAAAAGTATCCACTGTTCTCCCATGCTCTAACACACAGTAACGATGAAATGTGTGCTGTTCTCACATTCTTCCTCTGTATGTACACATAAACAACAAGGCAGGGAAATATAAAAGGAATTTATTTTATTGTTTGGGTACATTATTGTTCAGTGTACATGCTCACATCTGAAACAAACTTTACGTGCTTGATAACTGTCCCACCCCGCAGACATCTACACACCAATACCGATTTATATTCATAGCGGCAAGTGCTATGTAGCTCCACATAGGGGACACAGGAAGTGACATATAGCACCTTCATGCGGCGTCGGAACCGCGTAGCAAATTCACAGCCGCACCAGCAGAGCTCCAGAATGTGCAACTCGGCCGGCTCACACCCGGACGCGGGCCCGCCCAACGCTGCTTGCAGCTTTAATTTTTTTTTTTTTCTGCAAAGTAGGCTCCACTGACAGGGCCTAAACATACTCGAAAACTCACCAAACTTGCCAGGACTGGTGAAAAATTTCGTATTTTATGTGTTTCGCGCATGGGCATGGCAAAATGACTCGCTAGCGCCACCTAGAAAATTGGAAAAAATTAGCCCCTCGTTCACGTTTAACCTACATGCACGAAATTTGCTGGGGACATGTATAATATCAAGACGCACAAAAAAGCCTCAAGAACCCTAACTTCAGGGTACATGCTCACATCTGAACAAAACTTTACGTGCTTGATAAGTGTGAAGTTGGCATTAAATTTCATCCTAGGTGGAGTTCAGTAACTTTAAGAATAAGATGATTCTCTGTTTTCAGGTTGGTAAACTCTCAAGCCCCCATGTCAAATCAGATGCGTGGATCACATCTGATTTCAGTTTATAAACCCTGCGTACGCATAAAAAAGGGCTGGAAATGTGCGTACGCCACTTCCCACACAAAGATTGTGATATATAAATAACAAACTTGACGGGAGAATGCGGACGCATGCCTGGGGTTTGCATGTGTTGTGATTTGGCGCTATATAAATAAAATTGAATTGAATTGAATGTGGGGCCGCACATAAACTGGAGAAATGAGAAACAGCAACTCGTGTGGCAGAAGGATGAAACGGTTTGAAATGAATAGACCTTTGCTGCTGCCCTGTTCCACACTGCCACCCAGCCTCCTGTCCTTTGAAGTTTTGCTGCGTTTCTGAGATGGAGAGAAACACAGAAGAACAGTGTCTGCAAATGGCGAGTTTTTTCTTACACAGTTTAAAATGCTTCCACACTGCCGACATGTCAACGCAATTGTTTGGTAAAATTTAATCGGTCTTTTAACTGATAGTGCTATTTTTGCTTTTTTTGGCCAATTCATTTCGGTGGCCGAACATTCGGTGCATCCTTAGTTCCATTTTAGTTTCATGGTCCATCTGTTGCTTTTTACTGTTTTGATCCCTGTCTTATTGTTGATTGGTGTTGGTCTGTTTGCATGGTTTACTCTGTTATTTGTCTGTTTGATTCATGCTTGGTTTCTGTTAATGTGTGTTGTCCCTATAGTTCCTGTTTGTGCATGTGTGTGTATTTCAGACCTGTGTGTAATACTAACAATTAACAACAGAGTGAAAACTTGTTTCCCCTTGTGGGATTAATAAAGTATGTCTTCTTCTTCTTCTTCTTCTTCTTCTTCTTAATCACACTGCTTGCCTGTGTATCTGTGTGCTGCTCAGATTTGTATCAATTGCTTGTGCTCCAGCCCCCCTCATTAGCCAGTGTATAAATGCATGTAATTCCTGTTCTGTCCTTGTTTGTTCTTTATAGCATTATGTTGCTTTGTCACGTGTGTCATTTGGATTTGTTTGGATTCAGCCACTCCCTGTAAGTGTGCTCGCCTGTCTTTAATAAATCATTGAACTGAACTTTCTCTGCTCTGGTGTTTGGGTCCTCAACCTCACAACCACACAACCAACCCTGACATATTTATTTAACGTCTGTCCTACACCTTCAAAAGGCCTAATTTTTGGCTTTTTCCCTCTTCCTTATTGAGTTATATATCTTTTTTGTGCATGTAATAGGTTTGTAAAGTGAAAAAGCCCAAAGTCCACCCTAATGGAGTTCTCCCACAGATAACATTGCTCTGAACTGCCCGGAAACAACTTGTTTGTAGTCCAGCCTTTTCTTCCGCTTTTCCATGACGTCTCAAAAAACACGCGTCATAATGCTCGCCTAGCGGCTAGTCCAACACGCCCTCAAAAACACTGGTGGAAAAACACTGAGCTGCAGCACACACCTCCTCTCCCTTCCAAACACTAGCTACCCTCCAGGCAGTCAGTGGACATAAGTTGTTACTGTAATGTAGAGACAGAGCTCAGTTAAAACTTTATGGATGAAAGATACATTAGTTACAGATTAATAACTTACTACTCTGAAACTCCAGTCCACGTTGCTAAGCTGAACCAAAGCTATGTTTACCGGCTTCTCATGACCCACCCTACTCTTCTTCTGATTGGCTAGTAGTCTTTAACTAGGTACTGCACATGTGCAACTCAATAAAGATCTTATAGAAGTGAGATGCATCACTCCATAGTTAAACGGAGCGTTCAACACACAGGGTGAAAAGAGGAGCTGCGGCAATGTGCTGTATGACAAAACAAATGGTGTTTTTTGAAAATGAAATCATGTAAACCTATTCTGGTACAACCCCTAAATAGCATAATCTGACCACTTTAACAGACCCTCACTCCTTATTTTCATGACTTGACATGACAATGGATAAGGCTATGATCTCAGTCTTTTCCTGTCCTTCCAGCCCATCTCGTTACTACCCAGTGAGCCGTGGGGTCTCTGCTGACTACTATGCCTACCCTGGTGGCCCCCAGTATGTGGAAGAGTACCCTCTGTACCCGCCAGGGGTCCGACCTGAGAGCATCTGCTCTGTCTCTGCTGTCGGGGGATACGACAGACGTTGGACTGTCGAGGAGAAGCGCCACTCGCTGAGGGACAGGCCCCATCACCTCTATGGCCCTCCAATGTCCAGGGACCACTGGGGTCCACAGTACTATAGCGGGATGGAAACATCCATGAGGCATCTGTCCATCCAGCCACGCTCCAGATCTGTGCCTAGGTCACCGTCCTCGTCATCGGGGGGGCCCTACTCACCGGTGCCACCCAACTTTGCCTCGCCGGCTCAATCGCCTTCTGCTTGCTTTGACCGGTTTCCAGGGAGGGTGAGGGATGACATGATCTATGCTGATCCATCCATCTACAACCTGAGGAGATCCCTCAGCTCACCAAAGGTGAAACGACTGTGTATTTGTAGCATTATACAGTGGATGTAAAAGCTGTGGAGTTTCTGCACATCTGTCCTCTGTCTATCCGTCCTAACCTTTCCTCCTGCCTTATACTTTCTTCTACTACTCTTAACTGTCCTATTGCTAACACCACACCGGGACCACTCTGTGTGCATGAGACCGCAAACTCACTTCTAACTCAATCACAGTTACTGAAGGAATCAGATATCTCCATTTAAGTAGTTTTTATCCCATGCTTTTCCTAATAATTAAATTGAATGTCGGTTGTTGGTTTAAATTAAATTAGGTAAATTAAATGAAAAGTGAAATTAAGGATCAAAATCAAAAAAAGATTTTCAAAATGTCAATCTTTTTATTCCCACGCCATTTCCAGAAAACAAAGACTTTTAAAGACTGTAAATGAAGATTCAGGGGATGAAAGAAAGAATTAGAGATTGATGTTTTGTTTTCAAATGCTTTAACCATATTCATCTTACTCTAATCTAACAACTTTCATTAATTTTTCCCTCCATTCTTCCCTTTCCTCCTTCCTTCTTCCCTTCCCTCCTTCCTTCAGTATGACTACCCTGGTGATAGGAGGTCCTTAAGCCAAGGATTATACCACTACAACTACCCTGTATCACCTTCCATCCACAATAAAATGGTATGTGTCGCTATGTGCTGTTATACATGTCCAGCTAGTAGATAACATAGTCCTGTGGTGGTAGGCACAGTCTACAGCGGTTATGGCACTTAATGTAGTGGCATGTATCTGGGCTTTGCTGCTGCAGCCAGTTGTTTGGTTTCTGCACATCTGTCCTCTGTCTTTCTGTCCTAACCTTTCCTCCTGCCTTATCTTTGTTCTACTCCTCTCAACTGTCCTGTCGCTAACACAGCACTGGGACCATCAACATGACTTAATGACGGAGAGACCTAACCATGGGCTCAACCAATTCCACTCAAGATCAATAGAATATAAGGCAGTTCTATAAAGTTCTATAATATAGGAGACCAGACACCACTTGATAATGTTGTATGTTCCAAAAAACACAGCCAGTCATTTTCAAATTAAACATATGACCCTAACTCTCCTACAGTCCAGCGTCTTATCCCTGTGGAGGAGGAGAGAGAGAGGGGGGTACTGTAGGTACTCTGGGCCAAAAGTACTACAAGTAGTGGATAATGATAATACCAATTTGAATAAAGATCAGAATGGACACTCCTAAAACAACAGAGACCAACACCAAAGATATGTGGCAGGGGTCTAAAACATCTCAGAATAGAACAGTTTTAGGTTCCTGGGAATAAGCATCATAGAGGTCATGGTCATCTCACATCTCCACGCTGCTAAAGAAAGCTCAGAAACAGCTGTAAGTTCAGAAGGCAGAATTCCCTGGTCGTACCACCAGCCTACAGAGCAGCTTCTTCCCCCAGGCTTTGAGATTCCTCAGTTCATCCTCAGCACCATGTAAAATATCTTTAGTTCTATGACTTATTATTCATTCACCCATCTACTGTATCTAATTTTTGTAACATTTGTTTTGTGAGTAGCATAAAGGGAATTACAACTTAATCTCGTTATACAAACTTGTGTTGTACCTTTGTAGAAGGAGTCAGCATTTATCAGTAAGCCATTCAACACCTTTTCTTCTGGCACACCCTAAAGACAGGACGCCCCTGAGAAAAAGACTGGAGTGTTGTGTGATATCATCATGACATCAGTAAAACAATAGCAAAACACAGCAGTCTGGGAACACAAGACCAAAACCGCTAACAGCTTCATCTGGGACGGGGTCAAAGGTCATCGAGCAGGCGTTTTCTTCGAAGACATTCACATCTGACACAGTAGACTATCTTTGAACAGAAGCATTGCCAACTCCCTTCGTACTAAAGAAGTTGCATTCATCATGAAATAACTTAAGCATCTTCATGACAACTAATCAAACTCCATCTGCTGAGGAAGACTAACAAGCTAGCATCAGACTTGAGATGAAAATATTGTCAAAAAAGACACAGACATTGGAATGAGCTGCTTTAAGTCAAAAACTGCCCAGACATGAAACTGCATTTCATTGTCTTCGAAGTGTTGCAGGTGCTCATTGCCCAGGAGCTGTAGTCCTCCAGTGTGTTTGGCAGATTGGTTGTGGTGCTTTGCTTTGCTGCCTTCCTTTCTGAGCCTTCTATCTGTACATTATGTGTCTGTGTGATTTCTGTGTCTGTTGCTGTTGCTGCTGCTTGGCTCAGGAGGACATATTAGACCTTCAGCTCCAGCGGAACCTGGATTACTTAGACCAACAGGTAAGAGGAGAAACACGCAGTGTTGTTTGCCATTTCATATTACACATTGTTTCCCAGTCAGTGTTGACACAGTGTTCCTTCCCTTTTTTTCCTATTACAGTCTCATTTCCTGTCTTTGTTCTTTCCTTCCAAAGGATGCTTGCTTGTAAATTACATTTGAAACATTATTATCAGCTTATCCTAACACAGATCCAGTATTGTTCCAGTCATCCTGTTACATAAGCTTGTAGTCAGATCTGAGCTGAATCTTCAGGTGCTCGAGGGAAGCCACCTAATTGGCACGGTTACCTGAATGGTGAAGCGCTCATCCTCACCAGCAATTCTCTGTGTACAAGGCTTTAGCTGGCAGTACAATATCAGACCTGCCTTTCTTAACTAGTAGTTCTATTTTCCAGCTGGGCTGTCTTCTGAATGACCTTTTGAATGAGTGTTGTATAGTCCAGTCTAGTCCAATTTAGTCATCTTTAAAGGCCTGGACAAAGGCCTGTATAGACTACTAATACACCCAGATATTCTATACTTACCCAAGCCTGCCTCTCTTTTCTTCAGTCCTTGCCTCGTCTGCATGTGGTCCATACTGTCACTCACAGTCAAACAGATCTGCTCCGTCATTCCTTCTGAAGCTAACATCATACTTTTTGCTTGGCTGCAAATGTCCATGATGGTCTATGCAACATAAATTTCATCCGACTGCACATGCGGAACACGTCCACCAATGCAGACACTCAATGTCGTATTTATGGAATTGGGCCCTTTAAAGGCCAAGAAGGCCCTGATGTGCTTGTAAAGAACATGCATACCACCCATGCAGTTATATATCTTGGGTGGAATGTGGACATCTTTACAGACATCCGCAAGTTAAGAAGTTTGCGTCACATGAGCCCTGGTAGTCACTCTTTATTCTTTTATTGTTTTTATTATGTTGTTTTATTATGTTGTTTATTTTATATTGACTTCTCATTACAAGTCAATGACCGGGGACTACAGATGAAAAATATCAAATTGAAATGATATGATCACCTATGACAGAAATACATTAATCAATATTGGAAAAGAAAGTGCGGGGATTGGACTGAGTGCAGCGGATCAGGAAATCTAACTAGCATCTCCTGACAAAACAAGTGGACAAGCCAGAGGAAACATCGGCATCAAGGAGGCAAAGCGGAGACATCAGCAGAGACTGGAGAGAGACCTCAACACCAACACCACCAAAGATATGTGGCAGGCCATCAAAAACATCACAGGCTACAAAAGCAGGAGCTCCCCCATCATGTGTGAGGCCACGTTACCAGATGAACTTTAACACCTTTTATGCTCACTTTGATCTCCTAAACAAGGAGCCAGCTGTAAAGTCTCCTCCACCTCCAGAGGACCGGCCACTGTCAGTATCACAGCAGATGTGGTGAGAATCCTGCTGAGAGTGAATATGAGTAACTCAGCTGGGCCTGATAACATTCCTGGCCGTGTACTAAAAACCTGTGCCAATCAGCTAGTTGATGTTATTACTGACATGTTCAACATCTCACTGTCTCAGGAGAGGGTTCCCACCTGCTTCAAGACAGCCACCATCGTTCCTGTACCTAAACAGTCTGCGGTGTTTAGCCTGAACGACTACTGCCCTGTGGCTCTCACCGCCATTCTGATGAAGTGCTTTGAGAAACTGGTTCTTCTGCACATAAAGAACAACATCCCAGCCAGCCTGGACCCTCATCAGTTTGCTTTCAGGACCAACAGATCCACAGAGGACGCCATCTCCACTGCCCTCCACTCAGCCCTCACACAACTTGAGAAAAACAACACCTACATCAGAATGCTGTTTGTGCTGTGTGCTCAGCCCCTTCCTGTTCACGCTGTACATCCACAACTGCATCCCCCGACATGGAGAGAACTCTGTTGTGAAGTTTGCAGATTACACCACCATCACCGGCCGGAATCTCTGTGAAGATCACGCAACTTTAAGGAAACAAAAAAAAAAAGTACAGCACACCTCAACTTTATTGTCAAGCATGATAAAGTCGGCTGAAGGAAAGTTAGCAGATCTTGAAGATCGCAGCGGAAGAAACATCTGTGTTCATGGACTGCCTGAAGGAAGAGAAGGCGCTAATTGCATACAATATCTTACCACCCAGATATCGCTGTGGTTCCCCACTTTAGGAGACACACCACCTGAGATCATGGGAGCCAAACCAAGAGTACTGATTCTGGTGTGTCTTCGGTATACAGACAGAATTCGCATCTTAAAAGCAGCAAGAGACTCATCGTTGCAGGTGTCCAGGAAGGAGATACGCTTCACAGCAGATTACAGCGATGTCACCAGGATTCGACGCAAATGCTGCAACGATGTCATGGAAAAAGCTGACCAGGCGGGTTTTTCTGCATTCCTAATCTATCCGGCAACTATAAAGTTATCGAGCGGACATGAACATAACCTTTTTAATATAATTTTTAAGGCAGAGGACTTTCTTGACAAGATAGGCTCCAATCCTAAAATGTTTGGTATGTAGCCTAAGATTTAAATCATTAATGCTGACCAGTGCTAATGTTAATGACCATGTTCGGTAATCATTAATCTTACTTTCTTTGTGAGTTCTAGTGTTGGGGGTGTCAGCTGAGGCTATTGAAACTTTTGACGATTTGTGTTGAGTGAATACATTGTGACAACATACTACGGAGTTAAGGGGAGGAGAGGGATCCGTTGGAGTCTAATTTATCCTTAATGGTCACAGATAATGAGGGTGTGAGGTGGGTCAGGGTTGATAATAACAGGGCCTGTGTTCTTGTGTTTGTTTATTTGGGTGGGTGTGGGAATGAATGTCAAAGTACAAGTCTATGTATGAAAATGTATAGTTCTGGAGTGATTGAGAAGGTTAATGTTTAGTATTAATTTTAAGAGTGTGTATGGGTGTGTGAGGTGTTCTAGTTTGTGGATGTCTATGTCTATGTATGTGTGTAGTAATGATTGCTATCTGGATGAAGGATGGCCTGGCTGCAGCTCTAATATAGATCACTTAAACATAGAATTTTACTTGATCTGAAATTAGTCCAAATGGTGAACTCAACTAAATTACCAAAAAAAGGATTAAAAGTAGCTCATATAAATATATGTAGCTTGAGAAATAAATTGGGGGAAATCAAGGAATTCCTGCAATTAGACAATATACATATTTTAGCAATATCTGAGACTCATATAGATTGCACATTTGAAGATTCTGCATTAAATATACAAGGATATAATATATATAGAAGGGATAGAAACACATATGGGGGTGGGGTGGCCATTTATATTCAAAATCATATACCTGTTAGTGTAAGAGAGGACCTACTGTCAACAGAGATAGAAGCACTGTGGCTTCAAGTACATGTTCCCCATTTAAAGCCCCTAATGGTAGGGTGTGGTTACAGGCCATCTGGTGCAAATTGTTATTATCTACAGCGATTGTGTGAAATGATAGATAAGGTGTGTGATCATGATAATTAAATCTATTTCCTGGGGGATCTGAATATTGCCTGGAACTCACTATGTTGTCCACTTAAGGCAAAGCTTCTTACTGTCACAGAGGAATGTGGTTTAACACAAGTGGTGACTAAACCAACTAGAGTGTGTATAAAAAGTGATGGATCCAAAACATCTACTTGTATTGGTCATATCTTCACTAATTCAGCAGAGTTATGTTCCAAAGTTGTATCTATACCAGTGGGTTGCAGTGATCATAACTTGGTGGCAATAGTGAGGAAGACAACAGTGCCTAAAGCAGGACCTAAGATCATCTTTAAGAGATCATACAAACACTTTAGTGAAGACAAATGTAAGAAAAATAAGATGGGAAAGTGTGTTGATGAAAGATGATCCAAACGAAGCACTTGAAGCTTTGAGTAATCTATTGATGAAAGTCACTGACAAACATGCACCTGTGAAAAAAAGGAATATTACATCCTCCTGGATTGATGATGAATTGAAGGATTGAATGAATCAGAGGGATGAAGCAAAAAGAATGGCAATTGAGTCAAGCTACACATCCGATTGGCAAGTTTACCGCAAGTTAAGAAATTATGTAACCAAGCTGAATAAAAGGTAGAGGAGGTTGTATTATGTAAACGTGATAAATAATTTTAAGTATGACAATAAAAAGCTCTGGAATACTTTTAATGGTGTTATGGTTAGAACAAGCAAATCAACACCATCCTGTTTTGAAGTAGAAGGAAAATTTCTTACTAAACCGGTTGATATTTAGGGCCCGAGCACGACCGTGCGAGGTCCCTATTGAATTTGTAAAGATTATTAGGGCCCGAGCACGACTGTGCGAGGTCCCTATTGAATTTGTAAAGATTATATATATATTATATATATATATATATTTTTTTTTCTTTTTTCTGCAAAGTAAGCTCCATTTTGGGGACCGGAGCATACTCGAAAACTCTCCAAACTTTGCACATGTCAGAACTGGTGAAAAATTTCGTAGTTTGTGGGTTTCGCGCATGGGCGTGGCAAAATGACTCGCTAGCGCCACCTAGAAAATTGCGGCCATTTTTGGATGATTTACACACTCCGTACTTTAACGAACTCCTCCTAGGGATTTAGTCCGACCGACTTCAAATTTCTGCTGTGCCTTCTAAAGGCATTGAAGATGAAAAGTTGTGCTATTTACGAGTTTTCGTCAATGGGCGTGTCCGTGGCGTGGCGTCAAAGATCAACTCTTTGCCATGACACAGGAAGTTGTTGTAACTTCAGTGTACATGCTCACATCTGAACCAAACTTTACGTGCTTGATAACTCTCCCACCCCGCAGACATCCACACGCCAATTCAATTCAATTAAATTTTATTTATATAGCGCCAAATCACAACAACAGTTATCTCACAGCGCTTTTCATAAAAGAGCAGGTCTAGACCGTACTCTATGATGCTATTTACAGAAGCCCAACAGTTCCCACCAAGAGCAAGCACTAGGCGACAGAGGCAAGGAAAAACTTCCTTTTAAGAGGCAGAAACCTCGAGCAGAA